AAAGGTTGCACTTACCTGTGAAAACACAATGTTTGGTGCACTTTAGGAATAAGCTGCGAATTAGGGAATCAAAAAATGGGACGGGAGACAGACAGGAGGAATTTACTTGTGAAAAGCCAATGTTTTGCGCAGTTTGGAATAAGATCAGCAGCATGCAGAGTGATGCTTCCACAACAGAGTTTGGAGACCAAAACATGTGAAAACATCAGAGCGCGAGACAGTACCAACTGGGGTGCGCGGCATGCCACACACCCCAATTGGTACCGTAGATGGACGAAATATTCAAACCGTTTCTATCCGGTACAACCCCCTCGCCCCCAAAGTTCAATGTTAATGTAGCCTGAAGTGCATTAGCCCCAATGGACGAAAAAAATCAAACCCCTAACATCACTTTTGCTAACACGCGCGCTGAAACATTGAGATTTGGGGGCGCGGGGGGTTCAACATAGTGCGTGCTGCAGGGTTTGAATATTTTGTCCATCTACTGTAGGGCTGGTCTTCGCCGTCTTGACATGACAAGTATGTGATTCAAACACCTTTCCTACGCGAATGCTTTACACGAAAGGTGAGGTTGCCATCAAAACCATGAAAACCACCCGTTAAAAAATATACAAAATATGTCCGTGGCAATGAGGAACGAAGGGGGTCAATTTCCAATATTTCTTTTGCGTGCGATTTTTAATTTCAACAAGGCCCTTGAAACCTACACTGCAACCCAAATATTTCAAGCCGACATCACGTTTTTCCAGAAAAAAATGTTTCTGACTTCCGGAAAATCGGGCCGATACTAAAGTTTTTCTAATTTTTCCGTTTTAAAAAAACTTACCGATCTAGATCCTAATGATCTAAGGATCGTCTTTGCCATCCTTATCATGTCAAGTCGCGGACCCATTTTCCCGGTTTCATGGAGGTTGGATGCGCTAATATTCTTCCCTGTTTGACTCACCTGGGGGTGCGACGGAAAAAAATGAAACCAGCACCTTCCCTTGTTCAGTATTTTTTTTGACATACTGTGGTGCGGTGTTTTTTTTTGTGTGTGTGGTGTGATTCAAATGCTTGACAATAGTACGCGTTTCATATTGCAATTTGGTGGCAACATTGGTTCTTGAGGCGCGGCATCTTCCCAGAGAATACTCGCATAAAATGGTTCCTGTGACATGTCCGTGTCCATGTCCATGTCCATTTCGACTTTGCAAACTCGCACAAAGTCTGCGCCGCGAGTTTTTCTTGATCTTAGTCTGCAGCATGATACCCGAGAATTCTCACATAAAAAGGTTCCTGTGACATGTGCATTTCGACTGCGCGGGCTCGCACAAATTCCTGGCCACGAGGCTCTTGGGAAGTTTTTGTACCAATATTTTGTCAGATCGGTTCCAATAGAAGCAGGCCTTTTCATGACGACTTTGTGTTTTTTCTTTCAAGGGGTTCTGGCATGAAGTCGTCTGGGGATCCTTATGACATGCTCTCAAAAGCCTTGGCATGATCCTGTACAAGTCCCTTGGAAAAGTTTTGAACACTCTTTGTGGAATCTGTCTTTACATGATCTGGCACAGGTCCTTGTGAGAAAATTTTGTGGAAATTTTGCTGGGATCTTCAAGAGGTCCTTGCGGGAAGATCCTGAAGATCCTCTGCGCTGGTGTTTGTGTGAAAGTTATTCTGGAATCCTCACAAAGCGTTCTATGAAGGGTTGTGAGCTCCTCACATGGTCGTGTTGCTGCACTTGCGACCATGTCTAACTTCACCCGCTGCTGTTCCATAGTTACTGTTGTTTGTATCTGGTACATTGGATTCCTACCCCCCACACTGTTTGGGGCCTCTTGACGGTGTAATATTTTTGTTGTTGTTGTTGTTGTTGTTCTTGTTGTACAAATGTCGGTGATGTGATTGATGCTGTCCTTCAAATTGATGTTGCCAATAACGTTGTAGTTGATGAGGCTGCTGTTTATAATGTTGTCGTTTTTGTTGTTAGTGTTGATGCTGTTTGTGTCGATGTTTTTGTTTGATTTTCTGTTCTTGTTGTTGTTGTTGTTTTTGGAAAACAAGAAGGACATATGATTTTTGATGGTGATGAGGATGAGGATGATGATGATGATGATGATGATGATGATGACGATGATGATGATGGTGATGATGATGATGATGATGGTGGTGGTGATGATGATCATCATCATCATCATGAGCATGAGCATGAGCATGAGCATGTTGATGCTGATGTTGATGGCGATGTTCATGATTATTAATTATCAGGGGACCAAGGGAGGAAGGGATGAGGGGACCAAGGGACGAGTGACCCAAGGACCAGGGGATCAGGGAGACCTTGTTTTTACTTCCAGGAAATCTTTTTTTTTCCAGCCCGCACTCGACCATTGTATCGGAGGTAAAGCAACATGCGCGCGATTTCTTTCCAGCGATTTTGCTGAGATGTGAGTTCCTGAAAGCAGCCTTCACTTTGGGCACGGGCAAGTCTCGTGAAGTAAGATTGGTGGCTGAAACTACAAAGGTTTTGCCTGTGGACACCCTGCATGTCTCACTTACTTTGTTAAATGACTTGCTGTTTTCCTGAGCTGCGCGCTGAACTTGCAGGAAAACTTGGTTCACAATGTTGCTGAAAAATTGTGGAACAAAATCAATTGCAAGTGTCTGCCCCATCGCCAGCTCGAAGTTGTTATATACCACTGTACTCTCGTACGGTCTTTGCTCCTGTTAAACTTTATCTGGAAACAGCTCAGCCTGAACCGTATGGTTTTCGAGCAGGTCGCCGAGAAGATGACAGAAGGATGTGTGTGGATCAAATGCACTGCTTGTGCCACAACAAACTTGGCGTTGTCGACATAAAGGAAACAGTTGACCTTTCCCAATCTGTGGTGTGCGACATGCATGTGTATTCATCCCGCATTTGTTCGCTTTAATTTTGCAATGTCCCATCGTTTGGGTAGCCGGTGAATGCTACGTTTTGTCAGATGGTTTAAAAATAACGTATCTATGTATCTATGTAGGACGGACGGACGTACGTACCTAGGCATGCAAGCATGTACGTATGTAAGTACGTGTCTACTTATCTACGTATCTACGTATCTAGGAATGTACGTCTACACGTATACATGTATCCACGTATCCAGGTATCCACGTATGGCATATACACGTTGTAGGTATGCACGTATGCACGTATGCACGTATGTAGGCATGTAGGCATGTAGGCATGTAGGCATGTAGGCATGTAGGCATGTAGGCATGTAGGCATGTAGGCATGTAGGTATGTAGGTATGTAGGTATGTAGGTAGGTACGTAGGTAGGTAGGTAGGTAGGCATGTAGGCATGTAGGTAGGTAGGTAGGTAGGTAGGTAGGTATGTATGTATGTATATATATATATGTATCGGTATAGGTATAGGTATTCCCATTGCTGTTTATGTTGGACTCTTCTGTGACAGTTACAAATCGAACAGTTGCTTTTTGAATGATAGCTTTTGTTCGGAGATCAAATCATTTTGATGGTTTGAAGTGCACCAAGTGAGCTGTGTGGCGTTGGTGTAAAAGTGTAAAGGAAAGTGGATCAAGCAATATTTATCAAAATATCACAATGAATTTGTTTGTTGCTGTACCATGCTGTACCTATTTTAGGCGCTCAAAGTTCATGATGTTCATGTTCAATCTTCCCAGCGACGAGTTGACTTTGGAGCTGGCATCCTTGCAGGTCAAAGATGTCAAGCATTGCTTCGCTTTTTGAGTATGTGATAAGTTAGTGATAAGCATATGAGGAAACACAAGCACACATAAGCACACAACAACCCAAACCGCCACAAACCGCCAGTTTCATTTCATTCGGGCCCTTTGGACTGCAAAAGCATTGATCATCTCACAGAAAAAATGAGCATCGCTGTAACCTTTTCAAGCCCGCTCAAGGGTAATTAAGTGTGAGCCATGCTTTCAGAATCACGTCACTCGTGTTATCGGGCACGGTAGAGTTGAATGGCGCTAGTACCCAACGGCTGTGATAATCGGAGTTCTTGCTTGCATCGGCGTGCTGCTTTCGGGGTTCACCACTTTGCCAGCTTGCATTTCGGGCTCGGAACAAGGCACAAGACTCACAAGACTAAGCATCTGGAAATGCATTTGCTTTTCACGCACTTTCGGGGGCAAAAACACGCCATTGATAACTTGGATTGGTACGACAGAATCTTGATTTTAAAAAGCCAAATGGTCCAAAATGCGACTGAAAACCAATGTGAAATAATACTTTAAACTTCCAAGCTATGTTTGTACCATCTCGATTGGGCGCTGCAGGAGCCGGCTGCAGCTCTACAAGGGGTCTCACAACCACTTGAGCGGCAGGGCATTTAGTTCCCAAGCGACTCATCCCAGCACTCAATCTTGAAAGCAAAACACATGGCAATGGAAAGATTGGAAAGTGCAATTATACCACAGCAAAAGACGGATCCTGCCCCAATAAAGGTTGGCATGCCCAAAGTGGTGCAAGAGTCATTTGTGTTATTCAGTAACGTCACTTAGTCCTACCTGAGTTAGCCCTAGTTCATTGATGTTCATTGATGTTCATTCATCGTTGACTTGTTTCAGTCCGCCAGTTCCGCAGTTGGCTGTTGACGAAAGCCGCGTCGCAAGATCAGTTTACTTCGAGCTTGTAGAGGGCTGTGCGGCTGTGCGTGAGCTCAGTGACTCAGTCCTTTTTCCAAGGTTTTCTTCCGTTTTCTTCGGTTTTCTTGTTCGACGAGCAGTCGATGTTTTGTTGGGAGAGCTTCATCGCTACTCGGATCCCTGGAGAAGTGCAGATGTGTAGCGCCGATTGAGATGAAGATGGGTGGACTCTGCTATCACTGTAAAGCCGTGTTTATGAAGTCGTGCTAAATGAATGCGCAGGAGAGCGAAAAACGAATGCTATCCAACTTTAAAGCTTGAAAGGTTTGTTCCAACTCATCTCTTTTGTCGCGTTGCTGCTTGGCTCCCTGTCCGCCGCAAGAATGTGTGCGTAATGTTCCAGCGTGTTTATGTCATGATCGGACCCGTTTTTCAACTCGCAACGCGATCATTTTTGGGCCACCTGATGCCACCTGGTCCTTTGCCCTGTGAAACTCAGCAATGACCCAGCAATGCTCCAAATTTAGACTTCAAACTTTGTCAATGACGGTCACAAACGGTCACAACTTCACAACGGTGACAATGTAACGGTTGTGCAATGTTGTGCACCCCTTGGGAGCTGTGACTTGGAAGTAGAAACGAGCACCACCTATCCTCACAATCTGTGAACATCTTTGAACCATCCGCATCACTTTCTTGGCGGACCAGTGTACCTTCAGGCTGGTCAGGACACATAGGACACTACTCTTTGAGCACAAACTCCCCTGTAGCATGCTGCCAGGGCATGTACAACTGCAATATGCCAGAAACACTTCTTTAAGGATATACGCTCAATGCTACAAATGCATACAAATGCCCTTGATATAAATTATCACTGTATCAATTGTTCATTTCAAAAAAAATATATTCGATATAGTGATATTGATATAATGATATAATATTATCATATGTTATCCGATGATCCTTGTCCTTTCTCTTGGGGTTACGACCATGTGACCCCATGTGACCTATGTTACCTTTGATTCAATGCATTGGCCACGGCACTTGATGAGCCGCAGCTTCAAGTCAGCTGCTTGGACCTCTGCAAAAAACAGAACCAGTATGGCCACCCTGCATGGTATGGCACCATCTCAAAGATGTCCGGATTTTCTGAGGCAAGGACGAAAGGATCGTCCTTGATGTCGGGGCTAAAAAGATCCAACTGAAGCTGTCGAATGCCTGCTTCAGTGGCTGGGTACCTGAAGCTCAACTGCGAGGTCTCGTTCTTGAAGCTGGATCAAAGCAAACTGGCAAGAGTCAGCAAGTCTTGTTTCAAGATGTTTCAAGATGTTTCAAGGCCAAACAGCTACAAAACTCTAAAGATCAACCCCAAGGACCCAAGGAATCCCCTTGGGACACTCGGCAGCTAAGAGTTCTCTATCGGGATGTGAAGATTCTCCTGAATGCCATCGAGCGATCATCTCTTCGCACCTGACAGAGACGTCCCACGATGTCCCACGTCACATCGACACCTCACGACACCTCACGACACGTCAGGACGGGACAGTGAGAAGGACAGACCGATGATATCCGATACGTCGTGAGTTCTCCAGTTCTCCAGTGAGTTCTCCAGTGAGTTCCAGACGTCTGCTGGCTGTCGTCGTAGAAAGACTTCTCCTCATCCTTTGGGAGCCGATGTTCTTCTGGAAGTCCCTGGCGATAGGACATGACATACCAACATACCAACTGTGCACAACTGATCCTTGGATGAACTGTGGTGAGTCACCATTCCCAAGCGAAGAACGAACAACCTGCTCGTCTGTGATCTTTACTGAGTGGATTTCGGCATAACAAACTGCACAGCAAAATGCACACCGTAATACACACCATGCAGCTGAAAGGTTCGCCTCCCAAGCTCTGGACATGTTCTCCAGGGTCGTGGCGAACTGCTCCGCAGTGATCGGCATCGACCCGAGACCTGCAATTGTCCGAGCCATTGAATCAAGGATCATGGACGGAATGACGGAATGCAGAAAAAAATGTTTCAAACATGCGGGTGGAACAAAAAGGGAAGCATCCAAATCACAAGCTTTCGCTGCGCTCTGATACGGGCCTCTGAAGATCTCTCAAAATCAGATTTGAAAAGAAAGAACTGATAGATCTGACTGCTGACCGACCCTTCCTAGCCTCGTCAAAGACACTTGGCCAGGAGCATTCGGATCATTCGTTTTTTGAACAGCTGAAAGGCCGAGAACACAAAGCTACTTCCAAGTCTTTTCGACCACCCAAGAACACGGTCCGTGCATGTGTCCATGTGCCGATTTGCCGATGTGCCTGTGTCGCAGCCGTTGAAGCTGTTTGGAAAAGCAGAAAGCGAATGCACAAAATACACAACAGGTACAAGACGACACAAGGACAATGCAATAGAGTGGATTGCTTTGGGAACCACGTCCTAGCTCACAATACTACTCAGCAAAGGAGGATTCCAATTCAAGTTGTCTTCTAAGAATGTCTTTACAACTTGCAACATCTTACAACATCTTTCAACACACTTGTGCTGTCGCATCTGTCGCATCTGTCGCATCTGTCGCATCTGTCGCATCTGTCGCATCTTTTCTTGGAGTCTGGTGTGTTCAAGTCTAGGCTTCAGCCGGTTCAGGCTCAGGAGCTTCGGCCTGCATTCCAAGAGATTATAGAGATTTATAGAGATTCTCTTTGTGAGACACTTTGATAGGTCTAGACGGTCTTACTTTGTCCCAAAGAGAATGAAATAGAATCTAAATAGAATCTAAATAGAATCTAAATAGAATCTAAATAGAATCTAAATAGAATGAGATATGCTGAGTTTGGGGTCACATGCCTTGCTTTCGAAGCAGTTCCGGGTCCTTTTTCAGTTGACCCGTGTGTCCCGTGTGTCCCGTGTGTCCCGTGTGCCTCATCTGCCCCCTCAAGAGGCGGGCCCTGGCTGTGCCATATTCGATCCATGGAATCCATGGAATCCAGAAATATTCAACGGCGCATCTCAAGAATTTCTCAAGATACAGTATCTCAAGTGCATGTTGAGATATGTTGAGATGTTGTCCTTTTACCATCTTTTACCATCTTTTACCTCATTTGTCAAGCACCTCCTTTAACTTCCAGCTACAGAAAACAATGTGCTGAATGTGCTTTCAATACACTGCAATACACTACCTAGTCATTATACGTCAATACACTGCAAGTCTTCATTCCTGCCTCACCCCATGGAGCAGGCAACCTAGAAACTCCTGGCACATCACGTTGAACAACAAATGTCAAGCAGACTCAGAGACACCGTGCTCTCTAAGATGCCAGGGAGACAGTCTTAGATAGTCTTAGACAGTCTTACCGGACTCTTTGCTGAGACTCTTAGTATCTCGACTAATAAAACACAGTCTCTTTTAGTATCTCTCTTGGAATTTCTCGTTTAGTTCTTTTTCTTAGTCTTGTTATTTCAGAGACTGTGTTTTAGTATCTCCAAGAATTTCAGACTCAGAGACTTTCTTTAACCGCGCCTGGTCCGTATCTGTCCATGATGGACTTGGGCTTGGGGACCTGAGCGCAGAACACAGTGTAGCCACGACTAAGCCCGCATGGAAAAAACAACGATGGAAGAAACAAAAAATCATGGAAATATGTAAAATATACATATATCATACCTATATAACATATAATTTATTATATAACATCAGTATCATGAGATATATTATGCATACATGTATGAATGTATGTAATAACTAGTAATAACTATTTATATATATATTATATTATTATATGAAATACATTTCATGTTTTGGATGCCATGATGCCATGTCGATTCGGAGCCGAGAGGCGGATGTCGCCAGCCACTCTTCGTAGCCTTCCACTTTGATCCCAGACGCCACTGCGGTGCCATGGACGATTTTCATGGCGCGGCTAATGTCCTCAGATTCAGTCGGATTCAGTCAGATTCAGCACCCAGTTGACCGTTTTACTCAGTATCAACCAGCTGGAGTCGTTTCAGTTCAGAAGTATTCTGAAGTACTCTGAAAACCTGAGAGCTTTGCATCGCAGTTTAAGTCTGCCAACTTGATCTTGGCAATTTCTTCCAATTTCTCCACGGTGATGGTGCCAATTATGTCAGTGCCTCACCATCTCATGAAGTTTGCAATTTCGATGCAGTTTGGTGCATCTGCTGCAGTAGTTCGTGCCTGCTTTACCAGAGCCTTTGGATGCCCCCACTGCCTCAACATGGCCATCGTATTTTCAAGCCATGCCATGACAGCAATACCTATCTTTTCTATACTCAATTTTGATAAACACGGTGCCTTGTGCAACAGCGTTGCGGTCAATGGAGTTTTCAGCTCAATCTTGAAGCTCTTGTCACTCATCACCTTTGACGTCGATAACAAATGAAATAACTCTGGAAACTGGCGGATTTCATCAGGCCACAAAGTAAAGCACGTGGCTTTGGATGGGCCACAGAATTTTTACCCAAGTGGCATGGACAATGCAAGGACAGGCCTCGCCAACCTAGCACAGGGGAAACAAGTCCATTTCTTCGTACAGACTGGAGGTAAACTCAGCATAGGAGACCATGGGACCAAAAACATCCAAAAACCATGAGGATCAGGCAGTCAAAAATGCTGATTTTCGGACATTTGACCGGGGTTATAACAGGATCGATTTTACTGCTGGGTTTTTCTGGTTTTTTTCTGCATCTTCTGCTATTGGTTCCATGTCGTTTTCTTGTCCTGTGTATTGTCTTCATCTTTTTGTTCCTTCTTCTCATCGTTTTCTCTTTTTCTGTGTTCTTTGTTCATTGTTCTTTATCTTCTTCATCGTTGTCTTCTTCGTCGCATGATTTTATTTTTCTTCTCCTTCTTCTTGTTCTTCTTCTTCCTCCTAATCCTCTTCCTCTTCTTCTTCCTCTTTTTCTTCCTCTTCTTTGTCGTCTTTTTATTGTCATTCCTGTCCTAATATGAACATGATTTTTCTTCGGTGATGTGAGTTGTAGGCTGCTGATTCTGGATCCTTATTATCGTTGGGTGGTTGTTGTCCTCATCGTCGTCGTTGTCGTCGTCGTTGCTCTTGATGTTATTGTTTTGCTAGCTGTGGCTGGGTATCAGTTGTTGTCATCCCCACACCTCTGTCCAAAGCAATAAATGTTGCCCTGCCTTGTCCGCTGTCAGGGCATTGTATTCCTCCAAACAACTGCTTGAGTTGATGCTCATTCTCGACATCATATCAAAGACCTATGAAACATCTATGTCAGGTGCTGATGAATCTTCAGATTGAATCTCTGCTCATGAAAGACCACAAAAACTCATCAAAACATGTGTGTGTGTGTTGATATCTCTGCATATCTCTGTATCGGTGTATAGATGTGTATAGTATAGTATACTTGTATTATTATATACTATTAATTGTATTGCCTCAAAAGTGTTATAAACAGATAGTTTGGCTTAACTTCGCTCCTTCACGAAGAAAGCAATGTTGAGACCGAAGGCGCCAATGGCGGGACCCACTGGGGGAGCTGGAGTGGCCTAAGCGGAAACAGGGGTAAACGCAAAATCACCGAAACTCTAGATGTTTCTATTTTTTTTAACATTTTGAATTTCAAACTTGCTCAAATGAAAAGAAATGAACAATGAAATGATACGAAATTGAAAATGATATAATGAAACGAATTGAAACAACCGAGTACAATAGATAATGAAATTGGTCATCGGACTTATCCAGGAAAAGGGCCACAAACACGAAAGAGTCGAAATCGGTCGAAACTAGGACGTCTTCGTCTTGTTTTGTGGTTTTAAAGAAACAAACAAATTCACTGAAAACCTGGGGTGGTTGCTTTTCCGCCAATGATCTTGGATAGTTTCACCTGAAACGGTGATCTCAAACTCAACACCTGGAATGAGAGGTTTGCTCTTGTTTAGAATTGTTGAATGTTGAACATACTCCAAGGACGACTACAGTGACAACAGTACAAGATCAAGACGCACTTGCTGCTCAACACCAGATCTACCGGTCACAATTTCCGAAGACACCTGTGCCACTTCGGTCACTGCTCGCATAGCAGTGCCAAGACGTTGCTGCCGCCGGGTGGCCACCTTGGCGCGGTGGAATCTAATACATTTAACACACCTTGAAATCCACAAATACAACAAATACAACAAATAATCCAACTTCACAGATCACAAATTGGAGAAATGCGGAGTCTGGGACTCCAACCACACCCAAAGTTGCTAAAGCCATGCCACCGAATGCAACATTGAGATGAGTGCCTCGACAAAATGTGTCTCCAATTCGTCACTGGTACGATGGAGATGTCACGTGCACCCCGTGCAAACCATCGATTCCATCGATACGAATAGGATCAAAATATCAGCATCAAAGTCGAACTGTCCCGAATCACGGTGCACCAGTGTGAAAAAAATATGTGCACAGGACTTCTCCCAATTTTTTTCGTACCTCTGGTGGATTCTCTGGAACTGGAGGTTCCATGCAGCGGAATGCCTCGCAAACCAACAAACGAATCCTGGTGCCTACGACTGAAATCATGTAAATATAAACATACGCATCATTGAAAACACATCATGGTTGTTTCAAAATAGCAAATGACGTGACCAATATTGATACTTAATACATCTCAATGCATCTCAATATCCAACAACAATATCCAACAACAAAATCCATCAATAAGAATGTTGATAAAGGCAATGCGTCATCTAGCCTGCGCCGCGCAAAGCCGGTTTGGCCACCAAGAAATTCAGCTGCCTGAGAGATTTTTTGCCAACAAATGCCAACTGGTAAGCAGTTCCAAGCAATCTGAAAATATTGTCAAATATTGTCCAAAAGCAACGGTTGCCATCAATCTATTGATTTTTGGTTTGCAGGCATCAGGTCTTGACGGGGCGGCATAGCCCAAAGCTACCTGAATGTCAGAACAGGGAAGTTCTTGGGAACAGGTACAAAATTTTAGAGAAAGGGATGCTACCCACAAGCAATCCAAAATCGACTGACACACCATCGACACGAGGTCATTTCTTGGTGGCAGCACCACCGCGAGCACCAGCCACAACATCCTGCTCTTGCTCGAGCCGCAAGCGCTGCACGTGCGCTGTTGCGTGTAGTGTTTTCACACGTTTTCATAAACCATTCATGCATTGAAGAAAACAGTGCTTGAGATTGTTACATTTGCCTATTTACCAACAATTTTAACATCTTTATAAACCCGTTGCTGCGACAGCGCGCACATGCCTTCACCAAACAAACCCTATAGTTGGAGTGTAAATGCAACACCTCGTTTCATTCCATTGTTTGTCACGCATGTCCCAACAACAATCATGTATGTACACACCACAAAAAACACGTTCCAATCTCTCCAAACCACTAACAAACATCTGTGACTGAACAGCGCCACGGCCATGCAGTAAGCACCTGTAGCAACTGTGCGACCAATATCCCCACCTCAAAGTGATCAATTTACCTTGCGAGATCTGGTCGCCAACAAAAAACTGCACCCGCACCAATTCCACAGGGAACTGGTTGAGAAAGGGTGTTTTTTTTCTGTGTTTTTCAATCGGGATACTTTTCCGTGCTATTTGCTACACACATTTTTGAACAAAACTTGTAATTTGCTGACTTTTGGGTTAACTCTCTCATTTGCGTTGTTCATCAGTTTTTCCCCGGTTTTAATCAAATTTTTCGGTGGTTTTCATCGATTTTTCCGTACTTTTACTCGATTTTTCAATGGTTACGATCGATTTTTCCATTATACATTTCGATCGGTTTTTCATGGGTTTAATGGATTTTTCTCTTCCGTTTGTTTATTGATTTACCCATGGTTTTCATTGATTTTTCTCTGATGTTCATCGATTTGTCCATGGTTTCAAGAGATTTGTCTGACGTCGCAAGTTGGCCACTGATGCTCTGCAAGTTCAAAGAAGCTCTGCAATCGCTCAAGCTGTTTTCACTGGGGCCGTGCAGTCTGGCCAGGCCACAGGTTTGGCCTGGGAAGTTGAAAGCCAAGGGATGGGAAAAGAGTGCAAACAAATTTTGCTTGGGGTGGGCGCTTTCGAATTGAAATCTAAACAGCGGACCCACCGCACCCTCCCTTTGAGATAAAAACTCACTGGGAAATATCGTGTCCCGAAATCTTTGATCTTTAAACGTGCTCTGCAAGACTATTCGATGACTGAAGTCAGTTTCATCGTCTGACATCGCAAGTTGGCCATTGATGCTCTGCAAGTTCAAAGACGCACTGCAATTTTTTCAAACTGTTTTCAATGGGGCCGTGCAGTCTGGCCTCTCCACATTAGTCTGCAAGGCCGCATTGTAAAGACTTCAGCAACGCATCAAACCAAATCACCGCAGCAGCAGATTCGTCCATTGTAGCAGAGAGCAAAGGATGCGGCGCATTCGTGGAAGGGTAATCACTCACATTTGCTTCAGTAGGTACTCTTGCATACCAAGTGCAGAGATGATTGACAGCTTCACGTTCCAAGTGGTATCTTCTCAAGGCAGAAGCATGTTGGCTCAAGCATGAGCCACGAATCAAGGGGTACCTAGCACTATCATTGTCGCCATAGCAAACCTGCAAACCATCCTTCTCATCTTTTCAGCCCAAAAATCTAGGGCTAAAATCGACGCTGCCAGTTCAAGCTTGTAGATAACGGTCTGTTTGACCCCAGCTCCAAACTGCTGGCACTGTTGTTCATTCAGAGGACAGCCAAACCAGCCAACACACTCGTAGGAATCATTGAAAATAGCGGCTCCTATTCCGCCAGTTTGAAGCTCAGGCTCCTAAGCCGCGTTGGAGAAAACAAACCATTCAGCCACCGCCTTTGCAGAGACGACCCGAGGCATGCTGATGGTTAACCGCTGCATCATCACTTGCAGCCCAACGGACAATTCAGTTGAAAGCTTTGCATTCCTTCCAAGCGCATGCTCCGACAATTGCTTTACGACCAGAAGCCCCAAGCGTCCATGTAAAAAATGAGTCAGCAAACCCAAGCGTCCCACGCAAGATTGAGGCATCCTGCTTGCACAATTCGCCAGCTTGCAGTGTAGCTGTAGTCATCGCCTGCAGGTCTTGAACTCGTTGTTCAGCATTGCGCGCTGCAAGAGCACGCTCTCCAGAGCTTGACAAGTCAAATTGAACACCCAAAGCTTTGCACACTGTTCCAAAGCTCGTCGCCTTCTTCCCATCAATATCAAATCTCCAGCCAGTTAAGATGAAGACAAGTTCCATGGGGTTCTTCGCAGATTCAACGCTGTTAGGCAACGACGCCAGGATGTAGTCATCGTAAAAGTTGGTCGTCAGGAGGAAGAGCTCACGTGTTCAAATCGTGTACAACATCCTGGCTAGTCGAAGGAAGCTGTACACGCTGTGTGTGTGCGTGGCGCCAAAAGGCAGCGTTTTAAGCTGATACACTTCAGCTTTTCCAAGCTCACAATTGTAAATGCAGAAGAAGGAGAAACACAGATGATCTTCACGGATAGGAGCCTGCGATACGCACTTTTGAGGTCGCACGTCTTTGCAACCAGTGCGCTTGCTTTTGCTTCATCATTGCACCTTTTGAAAAATTCCTGGCAACTGCAGGAAAAATGTCCACAATGTGTAAATCAACCTTGTTGTGCGAAGAGGCCGTGCCGTTGATGTCTGAAATGGAAAAATCATCAATCGGAGTAGGGATTTCAGCTAAAGGGCCAACTGCCCAACATTTTCGCGCTTCTTCACGTGTCTCCTGAGCAATTGTTGATCCACCTGCAGATCGCCAGCACTCTTGCAAGCAGCCAACGCCGCCTGGTTCCTCATAGGAGCCTCCTTCAAAAACTGAAGCATTGTTAACAGGGTTTGAAGAGCTCCTCAAACGTGCTACACTTGGGAATGACAAGTCCAGAACATCTGGATCCTCATACTGCATGTCACCCAAAATTTCAGCAGTCAACAAAATTCTCTTCACAGAAGTAGCAGGAGGCCCGCACATGCGAAGCGTGATTTCAATTGACTTTCCGGCCCCAGAAATGGAACCTGAAAGCGCACATGTGGTATCAGCTGTCTCCGTTCCCTAGCTCCAATGCGGCGATTGCAATGCAGCACCACCCAGGCAACATTCACCAATCCGTCGCTACTCCGCGCTACTCCGCTACTCCGTGGTATGTTTTTATTCAATTACCCAATGTAATTGACACGATATCGAAACGATGGCGGAGTAAGAGAGCCTTCAATACTTCACCTTCCCACATCTTTCCCTAAGCAGATTCTTACTCCATCCCGTTTTAAATTAATATTAATTAATAACGGGATTGACTGAAAAGATCATAATTCATGTTCTTTCTGGGCTGAAAACTTCGGTGGGAGTCTGTCTAGAGGGGCAAGGGGGTCCAACAAGGGGCAGTAAAGTATTCAATACAATCATTCAAATGGAAGCCGGCCACCTGCGCGAAAACCCACAAACTCCGCAACAGCAAGAAACACTTCAAGCAATCACCTAAGGCTGCCAAAGGCTGATGCGCCTTCTTTTAGCAGCAAACAATCACCACCAGACAAAACGAAATAGTAAAAAGCTACCTTCGACTGGGTTCAAGCAGCAACCGATATGCATCCCGCTTGCCCCAACAAGAAACAAAATCATCTACAAAACAGCTTCCTCCGACGGACCCAATTCTCGGTCCGGAAAACCTTCTCAAAACCGGCTTCACTCAAAAGGGCCTCCCTAGTTGCCCTTCCGGTCGCCATAAGCCACAAAGCTTCATTGAAACCAAAACGTTGCGTTTCTGCGACCTTGATACAACAAACTTCAAAAAATGAACCTGAACACGGTCCCACAAATGGGACCGCCAGGCGGTCCCATTTTTGGGACCGCATGCACCGCTTAGTAAAAGAACAAAAGAAAAGCACTTTCACGGTCCCATTTTTGGGACCGTCTGGCGGTACCAAAAATGAGACCGCAAAATCGCAAAATCAACAGCAAAGGCCGACCCGTGCAACGAACAAAACATGACAACTGCGTTTAGTTAAGCAACAAGCATATAGAGTTGAAACAGAGGAGGCCCGCAAATGCGAAGCGTGATTTCAATTGACTTTCCGGCCCCAGAAATGGAACCTGAAAGCGCACATGTGGTATCAGCTGTCTCCGTTCCCTAGCTCCAATGCGGCGATTGCAATGCAGCACCACCCAGGCAACATTCACCAATCCGTCGCTACTCCGCGCTACTCCGCTACTCCGTGGTATGTTTTAATTCAATTACCCAATGTAATTGACACGATATCGAAACGATGGCGGAGTAAGAGAGCCTTCAATACTTCACCTTCCCACATCTTTCCCTAAGCAGATTCTTACTCCATCCCGTTTTAAATTAATATTAATTAATAACGGGATTGACTGAAAAGATCATAATTCATGTTCTTTCTGGGCTGAAAACTTCGGTAGGAGTCTGTCTAGAGGGGCAAGGGGGCCCAACAAGGGGCAGTAAAGTATTCAATACAATCATTCAAATGGAAGCCGGCCACCCGCGCGAAAACCCACAAACTCCGCAACAGCAAGAAACACTTCAAGCAATCACCTAAGGCTGCAAAAGGCTGATGCGCCTTCTTTTAGCAGCAAACAATCACCACCAGACAATACGAAATAGTAAAAAGCTACCTTCAACTGGGTTCAAGCAGCAACCGATATGCATCCCGCTTGCCCCAACAAGAAACAAAATCATCTACAAAACAGCTTCCTCCGACGGACCCAATTCTCGGTCCGGAAAACATTCTCAAAACCGGCTTCGCTCAAAAGGGCCTCCCTAGTAGCATCCCTCAGATGCAAAGGGCGTGTATCTGTAGTTGCCCCCCACCACTCAGTTTCTTCAAGTTCCTTGGCACGGCTCAACCACTTACGGCACCGATGCCTCCTGTACTGCACAAGTGTCTGTTCACTCCAAACCATGTGTCGAATAAATTGCCCGCAATCCCATGGAAGCTCAAACACAGCTTTTTAGGGCCAAATCACATCAACATTTTGCAAAAATTCCTCCGCAACCCCCATTCCAGAGTCTGCAAAACACCCACACAAAAAACGTGAGTGTTTCCTCAATTGATTGAATTGAGGTTGCAAGCTTGCCCATGGAACTGCAAGGAATGTCAGAAGGTTTCTGAGCAAAGAAAACGGCTGAAAATCTGCAACCAATGGCACCTTGTTTCCTCGAGGCTGGCGACCTGCTGCAAGTTGTGAATGCTTAGCAGAGCAACGGATGACCAACAATGTCGTGAATACAGGGTCGATACGCTTCCACACTCCTAGAAGTAGTAAGATTTATTGCAGTGAAAGGGGATGGCTAATCTGGCACAGAGCCTCAGTACTGGACTCGGGAGCAAATTTGAGTCCATCCATGGTGGTGGCCATTGCAGTCTCAGCCAATGCAACTGCCATAGGAATCTTTGTGTGGGGTTCTTGTGGTTCTGTATTCCGCCGCCTCCTTCCACCGCCTCCCCCCTTCTCCTCACCAACTTGTCCTCACACAACTTGCACACACACACACACAACTCGTTATCACACATCTTTTCACACAACTTTCTCACACACACTTTGTCACACACAACTTTGCTCACACACACCCCTTGTCCTCACCAACTTGGCCTCATACAACTTGTGCTTTGAAGTTAAGGTCCCACATGGGGCATATGTCCTCAGTTTTGCGCGAATGCCAACAAACCTGCTTCATTATGGCTCCTAAAACAGGGCCGAAAAAACTTCTCAAGCTGCGATAGAGGGACCTCGACAGTAGCAAGCAGCCTTGGGACGCACAGAGAGAAAAAGGTGTGTTGACATTCATGTTCAAGCTGATGGGTCGCAAATCTGCTTGCAAAACATTTGCGGGCAGCAACGAAATTCTCCGATGGTTGACCCCATTTTTGGGTCCAAATTATGGACCCTAAAATGGGGTCCAGAATTGGATCACATTTTCATTCCTTCTTTTAGGTCTTTGCTTGGGCCCCGTTTTGGGGTCCAGATTTGGACCCAAAAGTGGGGCCAGCCATCGGAAAATTTTGCTGCTGCCCGCAGATGTTTTGCCAGCAGATTTGCGACGCACTAGCATGAGCGTAAGTGTTAACACATGCTTTTTCTCTCTGTGCGTCCCAATTTGTTTCTTGTACAGTATGCAGATTCAGCCCGCCACTTCAACTCCAGTGGCCAAAGCTGGCATGGATCCTTGGCTTTCTGCTGATCCTTGGAAACATTGGGCTCCCTCCACCGTCCCAGATGGGGAATTTTCAGGGCAAGAGGTTGTTTTCAATGATGGCCATGGCACCAGTTCTCATTTGGCCAAGCAAAAGTTTGAAGTGTTAGAGCAACGCCTGATTGAACATGTTGATCAGAAACTTGCTGCGCAGGCCCCTCCAGGGCTCACTGCCATGGAAACTGATGAAAATCAGTGCCAGAGATGCTGAAATCAATGAGCTGAAAGCGCAAAACACTAAATTTGAGTCTTGGTTCTCTGACATTGGAGTTCTCTTTGGCAAGTTGGGCGAACAACTTTCCACGCAGCATACTCAGTTCTCAGAGTCTTCTCAGTACTGTCGTCGAAGAAAAGACATACAGTAGATGAACGTAGCAGTAAAGCCAGCAAATCAACGCTGTAAAACACATCGACTGCAGCGGACTTAAATTCGAAAGAGGAAGTTCCCGCACTGGCAACTGTACCTGGTGGAACGCAGGAACCACCACTGAGTGAGGATTTCGCCACACGTATGAAAGCACAGGGGTGCAATCCACCACCTGGGTCCTGTCATTCTGGGATTTTTTTTTCCGTCCAACGCCAGATGGCTCTCGCCAGGTCGTTTAACAAACCGGAAATACAATTGCGTTTGGCAAATTCAACGAATTAGATCTGTAGCAACTTCAGTCCTGTCGACCGTGTGCAATCAAAAGAGAACTGATTGGATCGATACATAATCCATTGTGCTGTCACCGTGCAAAAACAGGAAAGCAGACTGTCCTGTCATTCTGGGATTGGGGAACTCCATGGCGGTCAGCCGCAACTGTTGCAAATTACTCGAATGGCATTGAGGTTCATCAGGGTTGCCAGTTTCACAAGATGCATTCAGTGATCATCTCCGAGGTCCAATAATGCAGAGCAACACGACGCCAGTCATGGTGTGGAGGATCAAGATCCCACACAGGGCAAGACAGCTTTGGTGCCATGATTAGCAATCCTGAGATCTGCATTACTTCACTCGTATCCAGTATAAACGCTAATCACCGGCCATACACGCAATCTGCCGTCAACAAATAGCCGCCAGATGTGATGACTGAAACACCAACCCAGCCAGTTCATGTTACAGACTTCGCTGCAGCAGCAGGGCGCATTGGGAGACAGGGGGGTCAGACTGTTACATACAGAAGCTTTTACATGCACAGAATTTTACACACATAAGCTTTTACACACAGACCCTGTTACAGACATATGCTTTTACACAAACACCTTCACATGCAGAGACTTTTATAGACGCTTTTGCACACTTTTAGACAGACGCTTACAGTTCCGTTGCATCGTCTTGAAGCCTGGAAGGCAGCATGTGTCAATTTATGGATACACCGTCATGGAGCAGCCTGTGGCAAGAAATTTGTTTCAGAGCTTAGCTGCCGGAATCATGCTTGTAGAACCACAGCAGAGCAGCGACAACTCTCTCTGCTCGCATCCTGTCGCTTCCAAGACAAGCCAATCGGGAATTACTTGCCACAAACTCCAAAAAAGACAGACTTTGGCTCCAAACTCGAAGCCAAAATTTGATCTCAAAAATGAAGCCATTTTTGGCTTCGCCTAATGAAACAATAGAAGCGGCCTCCCAGAAATTGAAACTAAAAAATGGCTTCCGTCGAAAGAGACACAAACTGTCCAAACCCAAAAGGAATGCCGCGGCGCCAAAAAAAAAGATCTCCCAATGAATGTGCCTGCCAACCCTTCTACAGATGCTCGCACAACCGAGGTGTATGTCAGCATAAAGTTCCATTCTTCAACCAGCGAAGCACGAGACTCTCTTCATGCGTCATCATGCCAGAATCAAAGATCATACACCGTTTTTTTTCTACATTATGTTGGCACTGAGGAGGTACAGTCATTAGTCTCCAGAATCATAATATTTTCCGAAGCTTGAATTGGATTCAATGAGTTCCCCCCCTTCCCCCAATACCGTGAAAAATCGAACGCGCCGGTGTGCGATCAATCTAAGAGGCTTCTCGTTTGCACAACATCCAATATTAAAATTCCAGGGGCAAGGGGATACACATCGAGTAAAGGTGAAATCTAAAGCCAGTGGCCAGACTACTGACGCAGTAGTTGCTGAATGGCAAACTGCCTGTGAGACACATGGACATGCCATTCTCTCTCAAACATTGAAGTCTGTGCTAACGCTTCCAGCAACATAAGCAAGCATCAATCCGCCGGGAAAAGACTCAAGAAAAGCACGTTGGCTGCCAGTACTCTAGCATGCTATGTTTTCATATGTACAAACCTCGAACAAACTCGGAATACGCGTCCAATCAGCCAGTTTACAATGGCAGGAACACTTCAAGTGGCAAAGCTCTGGCATGCTGGTTTTTCATATGTACAAACCTCAAGCAAACCTTGTTCAAACCGGAGCCGGACCATGCCAGCAGGCGCGACAGGATTTTGAAAGGAAAGTTCAATTAATTTCTTCTTTTGCGCGCGGCAACTGTAGATTTCCTCCGCTGCCTTGAGGTTTGATTGGGGTTTGTACATATGAAAACACAGCAGATCGAGTGTGGTCATAGCATGGCTTTCTCCAACATTTTTTTTCCGTCCAACGCCTTCATGGCTTCCGCCAGGTCGTGCAACACGTTCAATTGCATGTTGCAAGATAAGATTAATTGATTAATTACCGCATACATGGCCGTCTGCTAATTGAGGGGCCTCAAGAGTGAACTGGTAAAGGACCTGCGCATAGTCCAGTAGGCTGTCACGAAGTCACAACAAACCAAAAAACAAAAACCAAAAGCAAACCCGCCAAACAAAAGCAAAACACAAAAAACCCAAAACAAAACATCATCTGGACATGGTATGGCAAAGGGAAGAACAACAAAATAACAAGGCCATACCCCCAGGTGAGCAAAGCAACAAAGCACCACGCGGAAACCAGGGATCCCCCCAGCCAGGATCCCCGAGATCACATGGCGCAGCCGTCAGGGCATAACAGCTCACATATAGTCACTTCGAAGCAAACAACGACAAAGCCGTGTCGCAACGAGAGCGGTGAAAAGAAAGGTGAAACGGACAGTGAAACATGAGCTAATGTGAGAAATGATGAAGGGGCACCAACAGCCCACAGGGCGCGCTCAGAGTCTGCTCAGTAGTGCTTTTCCAATCATCATACTTTGGATAATTTCCAGAGCTCAATCGAAAGGTGTTTGCTCGATGGGCACGGTGCCCAAGTGGTTCACTTGGAGAGCTGCCAAGGTTTGTGGTCGACTCCGGTGCCCTAGTGCTCTTGCCAAAAGTCTTCATGGGCTGGAAGATTGTGTTCATTGGCTTTTTGCGCCTGGCAACTTCATAGCTGGCGGAGATCGTGCAACTATCTAAGATGCAGCTCAATTGACGCATCTGGCGTATGGCAGCTTCAAGGTCAGTGATTCTCTGGGATGGGACGTCTGTGATACCTCGAAGCTTCTGGCAAAAACTACAAATTTATTATAGTGTCTATTAAAAACGCGCCACCCCCCCCATGCCAATCTTCTTCTCACTCCTACCCTTATATGTAGTCTACCAGTGCAGCACATTATAATTTGTCACCACGTATGCTGGGTCAAGGGTGTACAAGCCAAGCATGAGACTTCATGTTGACCGGGAACACCTATGACATGAGTCCAGTAGCACCGGTGCCGGTTCTCGGTGAGTGGCAACAGTGAGAACCTCACGGTGCCCGCTTGCACTTATTGGAAATGCGTTTGCGGCTCCAACTTCTTTGTTTGCTTCTCTACTTCACTTTGGACTCCCTGTATGTTGGCTTCCACTGACTGGTTGCCAGTTAGAGCCCAACGACCAGTGGCAGCCCACCGGTCGAAAGCTTTGAGAAGCTTGGTCGTTTCTCCGGCCTGAAACGACACTCCTGATGTCATCGTTGTTATGCAGGTCGCTTGATTCTGGATCTGGACACTCAATTCTTCAAAACCTTTCTTCATTTCCACTCTTCCTTGGGTGAAATGCTCCATGGTGATGGCAAGCTCTTCACTTACATTTGCAAGCCTGTTGGAACACTCTGAGATCTTCCGAGCCAATTCCGTACTCACAGCCAAGACTTCAGCCGCGTTCACATCACCAGGTGGGGTGATCACTGGAGGAACCGGTGGAAACGGAGCATTCACGTCTCCTGGAGTTCCTTCTGGCATTGTTCCTCCTGGTGGCACAGATCCATCTGCCAAAGGTACGGTTCCATCACCCACTTCAGCACCTGCCGCAGGACCAGCAACATCTCCCATGCCGGCACCAGTGCTATCCAACACTGTGGAACTCTCAGGACCCAAGTTGGCAGCATCAGCCTCAGCGCCACGTCCTCTGGAACGAGAACGGATTCGGCTGCTGCCGTCATGACCGTGACCTTCTTCAGCAGCCATTCTCAATGTACGCTCCAAACGAGTTCTAAGAGCCTGTACTACTCTACTTGAAAATCCCTGCTGGCAATAGAGCCTCATGCCCTACAATCTCAATGTCTCAAACATCAGAACAAACAAACAAACCAACCAACATGATGTGTATGGTCAACAATAAACTAACTGACTAAGATGCTTCCCAAAATTCCAGATGTCTCCAACATACTGGAATTTTGCGAACCATTGATACACATGTTTCAACATGCAATAAAAGTCTGTACTCGTCCCCAAACCATGGAGGACCATCACGAGTTCTAATGAGTTCACTGTGCGTTCCCTGCTATATGCAGTGCAGACTCACTGTCACTCATTGACATGCATGCAGATGTTCTGGAAAAGAACAGGTCTCCGTGGTTTTGCAAGAACCCTTCGACAAGTCATCTTCACAAAAAACTGCACTCGTCAAATGACACACTGACTGCAAATCTCAACTGCAAGAGCAAGGAGCATTGCAAACACTCAAACTTGTATGTGTTTCATGTTTCGTTTGTTTCGTTTCGTTTAGATTGAAATTCCACATGATTGCATCTTCTCATTTTGCAACATGTTCGCATCGACTATTGAACCATTCTCGTCATCGATCACAAGCACCCAAAGCGAGCTTTCCACCGTTTTGCCACGGCTTGCAAGGCTCAAACAAAAACTTAAAGCACAATAATCTACAACTCGCCCACTCTACAGTTCCTAGCAGGACGCTCACGAACCGGCTCATTAGCAACCATGGGATCGATGACCTGATAGAGCAATCTTCCCTGCTCATCATATTCTTCTGGAAGAAGAAATCCGTACCAACGGAACTCACCAGGTCGAACCTTCTCCATTATCTCTGCTTTGGGATACTTTCGCAAGATGTGGAAGTATCCCAAAGCAGTTATTTCCACTTGAAGAAGGCTGAACTCGAAGTAGTTGAAAGTGTGACACCATTAATATCCGTGGCACGCCCGATTGGCTCATGGGTCGCACTCAAATCGATCCTGGAGGTATGGATATCTGGTTGGATTCTATGATGCGTCCGCAGCTCTTCCATCTGTGGTGGGGCGAGAGCTATCCAAAGACGAATGCTATCCTCCATTGAGTTCAAACCGAGATTACACTCCTGGACTCAGCAAAGAAAAATGGCTTCGTGGCATCGATGCAAACATGCAACTCAATTGCTTCTTCATGTGGATTAACACTCACTGCAAATCTCAGTCCATGCTGATCTCTTGACTGTGAACTCTGCCGCTTAAAGTTCTTCCAAACCAACGACCTACAAGTCTACAGTCAACTTCCAACTCAACACGACAACTCCACGCGCCTAAACTCACAGTTTCACTACAGCAAAGCAAACTGCCCATCCGTCACATGAGCAACGCAGACCCACAGGCTGCTGAAGATACCCTTTCTTCTTTCTCTTCTGCATTTCAAACTGGAGTTTCAAATAAAAATTATACCTAATACTCCATGGTCTGCCCAACTTCTGTACCTGGACCCTGACCAGTTAAATGAACTTGGCGGCCATCTCACTAATACGGTATAACATGCGTCCTTGGCTATCCCGTTCTTCATGCTTCACAGGCCCGTGCCAGCGATACTCGGTGGGCTTTGTCTTCTCCAAGATTCCGCCCTCAACCTTTTGAAGGTAGCCAAGCGCTGAGATTTCCATCTCCATCACTGCATAGTCTTTCTGATGGTACTCACCTTTCAATCCATCAGGCGTCCAATCCATAAAGTATTGGGCACGATCCACAGCTTCCGCAGGTCCCAAACGCAGACCAAAGCGACCGGAGTATCCATCTGGAAAAACCTCATTGCCCTTGTTCAACTCTTCCAACTGCTTGGGCGCTAAAGCGATCCAGAGCTTAAGTGACTCCATGTTCTGAAATACACACACTGCAACAGTCTCAATGCTCTTGACACGAAACAGTTAGAAAACAGCTGCGGAAACACGAGCAGGTGTTCTGTCCAAAACTCATACCCTCAAAAAACTCTCAAGCAGCTCGCGGGTGAAAACATCACAAGACTGACCTAACGGATTTCTCTGTCGCTTTCAGCTTTATCTTTCTCAGCCAACGACCTTCTACACCTCTAGGTCACATATGATCAACGTTTCACTCTCGCAGCAAAACAAAACTCATTTGTTCATTTCTGTCCAGGCAACCAACCACAGGGTACTAAGACTGTTTCTACTGATGTCTCCTCACAAACAAACAAGCTAAGGCTCAGCAGTAACACTCAGTCCAACTTCTTTGAGTAGTTCTTCTTCCAAAGTAGCCTCTGGGATGTCGACTACGTCCATCAGCTCACTGTCTGAGACGCTACGCACATCATCACCAGAATCCGGTACTGCTTCTCCACACTCACTTGGAGATTTCGCTGCATCTACCGGAGGTAGTTCTCTCCTGATACATGCCACATCTTCTTCCACATCTATAGGAGTAGGCGCTGTGGCAGCATCAACGAGAGGTGCCCGACGTTTCCTGGTGGAGAAAGGTTGACTCTTACAGGACTTATCCTTCACCTTTGCAGCAGCCATCTTACTCTTTGGACGATCCAACTTTGTAGCCTTCTTGTATTGAAATTCCTTGGAGTGAGACATTCCAGCTCCACTTGAGGTTGGCTCCTCGTTCGAAAGTTCTTTCTGGTCTTCCCGAGTGGACATGGCAATCTGATATACCTTTGAACCGCTTGAGCAACACTTGGCACCATCAGCGACAGGCATGATCCCCACTTTCAATCATCTACAGCGCACTCCAAAACATAAAGTTTCATGCGTATTGGGCTCCAAAATTCAAATCTACCTTCAGATTGAGTAACACTGAAACGACAACTCAGAAAGTGCTCTTTACATACTCATTCCAGTCACTTGATACACCTTTTCCTGTCACTCCTCCTCCATGGACCAACTGAGTTCAAGATCTAAGACATGCCTTAATTGTTTGCAAGAACCATGTACCTAACACCATCAGTTCCCAACCTTTGCACTTTGATCCAATACCTCAGTGTCCTTGGGTGTCAAACCTGGCAATCAGTTGTCCCACCGGATTATGCGAACCAGTTCTTCTCGTCCTCACCTTAGTGTGTTTCATCTCCAATTTTGCAGTAAATTACCTACTGTCACTTCATACTGCCGAAACGAATCTCCTACGTCCAGGAACGTCCCATCCATGCATACATCTCCAGATACTCCAGCGTAGCCTTGCAATAGTGACCCTACGCTAGCAACACGTCACGCCATGACACAGACCCCTACCAGAATACTGCCAAGACCACATGGACGCCTTCCAAAGACTACGCACCTACACAAGGTGGAAATAAAAACTTGCTCTGACAGAATCCACTGTCAACACAAACTCAACTCCTCCGTCCAAGTCACAAGTGTCCTGCCCAGGGCTGACTAATCTTGTATGCTCTTCTACAGGTACCACTGTCGACAGTTTACATGGATCCACTTCTGTCCAGCCTACCAAGCACACACCCTGCCGATTCTTGCTCAACTTGCAAACGAATAGTCGTCCAAAAAAACGATAGGTCCACGGTCCACGATCCTCATGATCCGTAGAAATCTATACAAAAAAAAACAGAGTCTCAAAGTCACCTGAACCAAACAGACTCCAACCAACTTCGCACTCCCTAGTGACCTTTTACTTTCAGATCATCACCTCCTGTGAAACAGGTGCACCTTAGTACGAGCTCATCTCTGCCTCTGCGTCCAGATCACGGAGCTCCAATATCCAGAATCCCAATCTCACCTTAGATGACGTCCTTAGCATCTTGTCACAAACAAGGGTCAGCGGAAGATGGTGTGGGTAGCCCTTTTCAGGGCTCCGCTACCATGTGAAAAACGTAAACCCAAGTACACCTCTCGTGTACCCAAATCAACGCTTTCGTTATCCCACTACGCCAGACGCAAACACCTACTGTGGTTGCGGCCCCGCAGTTACTTACTTCTCTGCAATGTCAAAATAAAGGAACTTGTTCCACCCTGACTCCTAAGTGCACGTCAGACTCCTTCTTTTCTCTCCAGACGCCACACACAACGGAACAGGTCAACAGGAACCAAGGCAGGCACACGGCCACAAACCAAAAGGAGTTCCAGTGTGGCTACTGTTTCAAATGCCCTAGGTGACACTGCAGTTCAGTTCGCTTCGGAACACTTGACACCACTCCCTTGAGCCGATGCCTCAACTGGGAAACTCGATTCCAGGTTTCCAATACAAAACCTTCCCTCAAAGGTTGTTGAAACAATTCCAAACTGCTATGATATACAGATCACCTAGTCACAAAACGTCAGAAACATTTCCAAAAGTTCTCAAGTCAAACTGGTTCTCGTCCAAACGCAAATAACCAGCTAGCCGGTGTTACTAGTCTCTACCAAACGTCTAGACTAGTTACACGGCTATTCAAGAACGAAATGATCCATTCAAATTCCTTTACAAAATTCTCTTGCAATACAGAACAACATGGGAACCTCATGTTCCATCTCCAAAACAGTTCTTCACACAGAGATGTCTTCTCATAGCTCCAAACCACCGTGGAGAGCAGAATGTTCTGCTCGACTTCTCAGCTAAGATCCAGTCATCAGCAGTCATAGCGCTAAAGTAGTTCGCTTACTGCAATAACCAAACGTCAGCAATAAGTCACAAATACAAAGGTCACAAAGTAGACTTCCAGATCAAATACCCAGAGGTCGAATACTATACGTAGGCATTGTCCTCACAATGCCGGAGTATCTCACATACTCGCAAGAGGTAATCAAAAGGCTTCACAAACATCTCAGATGTACGAAGCAACGTCAAGAATCGAAACGAATGTTCCAAAACCATCTCCGTCAGATTCACACTCCCATAAGGAGTCAAGGAACCTCCGAGATCGATGAAACCATATTATCCCGACGCAACTGTATAGCG